TTAATCATAAATAATTTAATATTTAATAAAAAAAACTGTTTCTAAGTTATTTTACGTCATGATAAATTAATTCTCTCCACTGGGAGTGTCATAAAATGTAACTACTGTTTTGTTGGTACTACACTTCAATAAATTAATATACACAGGGTATCCCACGAGATTTCACTAATATAAAATTTGGGTAGTGGATTTTACACATTATACCTACTTTTTAAAAGCAGTGTACAACTTATCATAGAATGATACGATACACGCAGAGCTGTATAAATAATATAGCAACACGTAATATTTATATAATAATAAAAACATAAAAAATAATAATAATAATAATAATAACAATAATAAATCAACACGTAGATCAAGTAAAATATACTTAATTAATTAGAATCGCAATCATTCCGAGTTTGGTACGAGATGTAAAAATGAATTGCATGACTAAACAGTCGATATATATAATAGGGTCTTTGTAGGCGATTCTTAAAAAAATAAAACGTGATAAGACCATCCAGCGTTTGGACATCGGTGACCAGAAGACGAACCGCGGTACATCGACGGACGGACGAGAACGACGACGGCGACCAACAATACGCAGAAAGCTACGCGTGACGAGACGACATCGCGACATCAACGCCTCGGACGGCAAGACACGTATACGAGACGGTTACGTGCCCCGTTGGCAGTGAACGGGGAAGTCACCGGTAATCTCCCGTGACTGTCGACGGGGCACGTTCGATCCAGTGTTACGACTAAAAAGGCCCTTGTTAGGGCCTCCACCTTACTGATCCCTCAAATTCCCCCCCCTCAGGTAAGCCAGCACAAGCGTTCACCTGGTCGTCTGAACGGTCCACGACTTCTTCGAGCCCGTGAAATCGGCTCACACCCCCCATTATTGTACATTATCATAAAACACCGAAAGATTCAAAATGTTCATCTATGGTAATGCATCTTCTTCAAGCCTGGTACTGTGTTTGCCCAAAACAGCTCTGTCCGGATTTCAACGTTTTCAATAATTCTTTCACGTGTTATAAAACAAATATCAGATGATAACGATATCCTATTTTTAATTATTTACTGAGGCAGGTCACCGGACACCAGCGCACCACTTCGCATTGGCCTTCAAATCATATTACGACTGACTGCTGTAGTCCGTAAAGCACATATTCAATGAAACGTTAGAATAACATTAAAAAAAAGTGTTAAACATGTGTATATTTATTTAGTTATAATTATTATTGTTACCACTGTTATTATCATTATCCTCATCATCGTCATTATTAATATAGTTTAACACTAACATTTTATTACCGGGATATCTGGTAATCAATGTGTTTAATTTGACAGTTAATTTCGTCTGTTGAATGAATAAATATTCCAAGTTACTTAAAATTGATGAAATTGTTAAAAAAAAAATACAAAATAAATGTAGTTCAGTGTATGATGATCTATCTTATATAATTCACTTACATTAATTTAACGGAAAAGTCAAGAACGCGAACATTGATATACCATTGTATATATTTTGTATTTTTCATCGTACACTTTTTCATATAATCTCAAATTACAATATTCCAAGTTTCCTATAATTTTTGTAAAAACAATTTTCCTCAGAGCCTCTGTTTAAAATTATGTACACCGAAACGTAGTAAAACGTATTTCTTATCGAAACGTGGACGAGTAAACTCCTTATATTATGGCATCAACATTAATCCGAAAACGAGTGAGAAATCATCAAAGGGTATTGATAAATAACTCCTCATAGTAGTTCTATCGAGAATATTGCGATGGTTTTCTTCACGCAGTAATGTTTTCGGGCCTAGGGGAGTTTGATAAATGCAATACCATTTGATTGAATACTAGTCGTGAGAAAGAAATCATTCCAAATTTCGACTTCCTTTCCTTAACTGATACAAAATAACCATTTAATAAATTATTAATTAATATATAGGTATCTAATTTAAAGTTCTCAGACTACTATTCGTCAAAAAATAATCACGATTGATTATTAAATTAGTAAATATCACTCTAAAAATTTATAAATTAAATTTTCTATGATTTTCACTAATAATAACGAAAATCCAGCATGTCCAATATTATTGTCACTCGATTGATTTACTGATTTATTATTATACGTATTCACTACGATAATTATAACCTTAGGTATCTATATGCATAATACTAAACACTTTTGCATATACCACGCAGAAGTTACGTTTCAAAAAAATTAACGTATGTTTACATAATCAATATTTATATTTTTTCACTCTAGTTAAAAACGGATTATTATTTAAAATCTAGAATATTTTAAAGACATATATGTGTATTATGTATTTAAAGATTATATAAACTATGAATTTATAATATTTTACGAATTTTTTAGTCAAAAATATACCGCGTTTAATGATGGAATTTACTTCTACTAGTAAACCATTAAGATTATATTTATGAATTAAATAATAAATAAAAGTAAAAGTAAATTAAGGTCATCCTCTAGATATGAAATATATAAACCTTCACTGTAATATAATACTTAAATTTAATGGCATATCTTGAAATATAATTATTATTATTTTTAATATTAATAATAATTAATATTGATTAATAATAAATAAATTATTATTCTATTCTCTTACTACGTAAGAGTTTCGAATTTGGTAAATTTCATATTCCTATTTTAAATTTCTGAGTTATTTTCTTCTGTTTTTTAACGATAACTTAATATTGTAATTTTAATTACAATTAATAAAGTTTCGTCCATATAATGTACGGTTATATACGTATATACTTATATTGTTATATTGTGTATCATAATTTATCACTTATTAATTATGATAACACTCATTGAGTGAGACAAACACACAAATATACGATATACACGTATCAATAAGACTATATTTGAGGCGCATAGAACCATAACGGTCTAACCCACAAAAAATCAAATTCTATTTTTTAGAATTCTAACGTTTCAGATTTATATTACGATCATACGATTTTATTATTATTATTATTTTTTTTTTTTTTTGTGGAAAATGGACCCGGCCAATATAATAGTTGTATGTACAAGGTTTTTAATTGAACGGGCTTACATTATTTTACTAAAAATAAATATAGAAACGTTAAAACAAAATCGAATTCCACATAATTGTTTCAACTTTAATGATTGTTAGGTTTAAATTATTTGGTTAGTATTTCTGTTAGATAAGCTTGTGTCCGTTACACCATTTACCATAATAGCAACATAAAATTTGTGATACATGTTTAGTTGCATTCAACTATTACAGACTAAACATACATTACACAAACCTTAATGTTTTTAACTAATTTAATTCACTTCTTAGTTCTTCAATCAATGAAAATGTTCTCAATAATTATAAGGTAAAGAGCATTTAATTTAGAACACGATATGTAATACATCGAATATGATTTACCAATCAATAATGTGAGTGAATATATTATAACAAAATAGCATAAACTATTAATTTTTTTCGTATAAAAAAAATATAGTTTAGTGAAGTCTTTTGCGATTCCGTATGCTGCATGTGTATATAAGTGTATAATGTTGTATCGATGTTTATTCAGTGGGTTGTAATCGGCACGACAACGGAGCACACACATTTAAACACTAAAAACGTGTGCGCATCTGTAAGCGTGTGTTAAAGGATACATATGGTTTACTATAATATGGACAGGAAAATCGGCTAAAGAAGCGATAAAAAAAAGATTCGTCCATTTGCGCTAACTGCTAAGTTCTCTAGAAAGTATTAAAATACTAGTCGTGAAACCCAACCATACAGTATGCAAGTTTTACTGAAACAAAACATTTTTTATCGTGTATCTCGTTTTTTTTTGTTTTTTTATATATATACTGCGAATTACATGTAATCGTTATGATATAGCCTAACCTATAAATCGTTCTGGATGAACATGTACCTTTTCCCCGTATTCCATTAACCACGATACCCGTAGGATTGTTGCAAAACTGTAATTATACAAAATCATTGAAAACAAATGGCCCTTACTACCTAATCGATCAGAATCGGTATTTTACCTTGCCAATCGCGTGTATTCATTTGCTTATCTCTTGCGTTTCGGTGTTCAAAACTTTGGGAGGGATTTGCTTCGCTTTCCCCGACGTAACACCTATCGATAAATCACGCAACGTCACTCGCGAAACACAAGTAAAGTGATCCGATTTTCGGATACACCATAAACGTGCATGGGTTATCGAACGTTTGAGACGTATAGCTGTTACAGTCGTTGACGTACGGAAACGATTTTTCGAACAAGTATCGTTATCGACGCAACAAACGGAAGAAGCGATGCGGATACGCACGTACACCGGGCAAACGGTTTCTCCCGCAGCTACGGGGAACGTTCGGTCAGTTACTCGTCATATCCGTATTCCACCGTCGTAAACGCGTTACGGCGTAACGCTACGCACGTGCGTGATTACGATCGTCGTGCGTAACTCTTTCGTTTATTTTTTTCCTTTAAAAAAAAAAAAAAACCATTACCCGTCCTCAGTTGCCGGAAGGCCTCGATGAAAACACGCGGAGGAGGGGTATTCACGGTATTGAGTAATATATATATATATAAACGTGAGCGAACAGCTTGTGGACGGCACGGGTGGGTTAGAGTGGGCCATTTGTGTGTGTGTGTGTGTGCGTAATCCTAGTGATCTTCTAGACAATATTCCGACGAAAACTTTCGGCCGACCGCCAATCAGCTGTCAAGACCGGTGGTTACGGCGAAAGGTCATTGAAAACGGCGGTGGCGGTGACGGTTGTGCGGGCGTCGGGAAGCGGGATGAGGATCAGAATTGCTTTGGCCCTTTCAATCCGGACACGGATCAGGTCTCGACCTACATTTCAATCTCGACCGCGCGCGCGCGAATTCCAAATCGCACGCGTACGGAAACGCGCGGCGCCGCTGGTCCCACGTCGGAGCCTCGGCACGTCCGGGCTCCGTCGCGTCGCCCCTTTGTCGTTATCGCGCCCACTTACCTTGTCGTGTTGTTCTGATGTTTGTTGGCCGAGAACCGGCCGCCCAGACGTCTGAACAGGTGCGGTTCTGCGCTCGTCCCGTTCCTCCGGCCGTCCACGAAATCGTCGTCCAGCAGAAATCTCGCTTTCTTCCGCAACAACTGGAAATAGAAGAAAACCGTTTTGTACAACGTAACGCCGTGCGACATGTCGCGCGAAATAATCGTCTACGATCGGCTGAATCGGGGCGCTACCGAACGCGTTTGATTTCATCCGACCGTTGAACGTTAACGTGGTCGCAACAACGGCTCTACGGCAAAATCGTGTGAACGGACGCGCCACAAAGGCACCGGTACGCGGTAGGTAAATAACGCGCCCGCGGTGCGCGTCGACATCGATCGTTTTTTGGAATAGATGACGAAATACGCGGTACAGTGTACCGTCGCGGTGTATTCTTAATCGTGCGCGTGCCGTAAAACCACAAAAAAATATTTCGCAAAACGGACCCGTGTTCGATGGGCGGGTAAACGTCCGGAACACCGGTTCGTCCGCACCACCGATGCAGTATCTTCGTCGACGTCGCTTCGTACAAATATAGCTGTACACACTCGTACCGACGCGAGACCGACGACAAATAATAAAAACAACGAAACAAAATACGGATTTCGGCTGACCGAACATGTTGCGCAGCTCAAAACAATAATGTATTATGTGCATAGTCATTTCGACTGCGTTTCGCGTTACACGAACGCACGTGAAATAATATTTTTATTTTTTTTATCATTTAGAACTTGTGTTCCCTTGGATCATGTACGAGTATTTTTGTACCACATTCTCTTACGAGTAATGGAACACATTAATGGCGGACTCTAAAGATAACATGTAATGAAGGTAACAATAAATATTTCTAACGGTTGCCGTTTAATTCGGGATTTTTCCCGTTGGACTAGCATTGACTTTGCAAATGAATATATGGAGTCATCACTTTACAGGAGTGCGAAGAAAAGTTCAAGTGATCATTCGCGAATATGCTCAAAATCGTAAACAACCTGTTAAAAGTTATTTGATTTATAAAGACGTTGACTAACTTTCGTACGGTAGTTGGTTTGATGGTGAAATAAAACTTTATTAATAACATTTAATTGAAAAACATAACAGTCCAGTCCAATTCTGGTCGAAGCAACTTATTTAAAAAAAATAATAATAATAATTTGCTTAACAACGCGTACACGGAAAAGTGGTTTAAAATGGAAATTTTTATTATAATACGTATTTTGATTACCTTTTTAAAATGAAAAAAAAATCGTATCAAATCCAAAAGCATCCGTTCAAAATAATCCGGTTTATCTCCGTCATTGAACACACGGTTTTTTTTATATTTTATTTATGCTTATTTTAATTGTTATATTTCTATTTCGTAACAGAAACTGAATTGGAAGACTTCTGATTGTATTTATATAAACACGACAAGGTTCACTTAATTACTTATTACGAATCCAGTTATTATTTCAACTGATTTTAATTTTAGATGTGTGCATTCTAAAATTGATTTTAAAATTAACACCTAATATATTATCAAATTTATCGAAAACTACATTGAAATCTAAATATATAATATCGAAAATTAAGATTGGTGGACTAATAGATAATGATTTATAATCATACATACGTTCATTTTAGTGTTGAAAACAATTAACATTTAACGATGTTTGAAAATATTATTAGTTCACGTTTTTGGAACTAAAAATTTTACTCTCGCTGGTGGATCTTATAAATCATAAAATTAATTCTTATTATAATGTTTTAATTTATGTTCTTGTACTTATTATTTTTTAACAATAGATTCATAACAATAGTACCCATAACCTTTGGTTATTTGATTACAAGTATTTAAATAATTAAAATTTTTTATTACTTGAGAATTTTAATGCAGGAGTATAATTTATATTTAATGATATTCAAAATAAATTATATTCATTTTTTCAAAAACTTTTGGATTAATACAATTTTCTATACATTAAAATATGTGAATAACGTAATAAATAACGTATGTGGTTTTTTTCAATAATTCCAAAATAATCTATTTTTCAGATGTTAAACTATACTAATATAAATGCAAACTATAATTTACATATAAAGTGCATTTTCTTTTCGTCAAATTGTAGGTAATAAATGGATTAATTTATATATTAATATTGATAAAACGATTGTAGTTATTATTTTTGTAATTAAGAAATATTGTTTAAAAAAATAATATTTCTTAATATTAATTCTTAATCAATTAAATATTTCTTAATCAAGAAATATTGTTTAAGAAAAGTAGCTTTTAATATATAATTTATTTACCTTTTTACTTTAATTTCCATTTAACTAATTTATTTATCAATGTTTAAACTTTTATTTTTAATGTAAAAGATTCAAAAATCTTACAAACATGCATAACATTTTATTATATTGCCCTTAAAATTGTAAATTGATATTATTAAATAAACATTAGTACATAAATATGTTTACAATCTGTAAAATTACTTAATAAATATTTTTTTTTACTTTTTATTGAAGTATTCGCTTTAAAATTTCATATAAATTTAAATAATTGAAATTTAGGTATCGTTAAATAATTATACATTTTATAAATACCTACTAAATTTTCTAATTTTATTTTAAAAAAAATGGTACTTGTTTGTTATCGCCCCGCCAGTGCTCCGTGAAAAATTTATCACCCCGCCACTCTTGTTTGTTATCGCCCCGCCGTATAGATATATATCATATATTAAGCTGTTCCCACGATTATCGTGTTTAACTCGTGATAGATGATCTATTTTAGGAAATATTTTGGAAATATCTACGTTTAATACGTACGTACAGTTAAGTGCGTTACTGACTTTCGAGGTTTCGTTATTATAGTGCCTATTTTGTTCAGACTTTTATATAAAATTAAATTTTAAACGATAAAATGAATTTTAGTGAATTACTTACATTTGTTTTCAACGACGAAACTGGAATTGAATTTTTACAAAAAAATAATGTAATTAAAGTTAGTGAAATGTGTGAAAATGGACATATAATGTTTATTAAGGGATTGCGATGGCTGTGTCAGAAAATAAGTGGCAGGAAGAAAAAGGGTTTAAGAGTAATAATTGGCTAACTGGTTCTATACTACCAATACACACAATTGTCCATTTCATATACTACTGGGCCCGAGAAATGTCATCAGTAACATTTTGTAAACGTGAACTTAAAATGGGACAAAACGCTGTGGTTGATTAGAGCAATTATCTACGTTGAGGTATGTGTATGGAAATTAGAAAATAATTATGAAGAAATTGATGGCCCCGGTTTTATTGTTAAATTGGATGAAAAATTATTTGTGCGTAGAAAAAATAATGCTGGACGTATTCTGCCACAGCAATAGATTTTCGGTGGAATATGTCGGGAAACCAACGCGTGTTTTATAATTAGTGTACCTGATTGATCGGAGAAAACATTGTTATCAATAATACAAAAATATATAAAACCAGGTTCGATAATTATGTTAGATTGTTGGAAAGCCTATAATAATTTACATCAAGCGGGATTCATACATAATACCGTTAACCACACCTACAATTTTGTTGATCCATACACAGGGGCACACACCCAAAATATCGAGAGGTTATGGGGTTCTGCAAAGTAAGGAAATAAAAAGAGCCGTGGAACTAATAGAAATTTTTTGGAGCCCTATTTGGCTGAATTTATGCGGAGAACACGTCTCGGCAAACAAGATGCATTTCAAGCTATTTTAAAAAAATATTTCAGAGTTCTGGCCTCCTTTGTAATTTAACATATATTTTTTTTAATTTATAATTATATAACATTTTTAAAATTTGAATTCTATACTATTTATAATCATATTAAGTATAATAATAATAGTATTAATATTGAAATATTTTTATATTTATTGATGGCGGGGCGATAACAAACAAGTACCAAAAAAATTGAGAGTAAACAGTTTATGCATTTTTATTTTTGAATAATTATTGTATTGTTTAAATTAATATTCATATGTATATAAAAATGAAGATAGAGAGAGGGAGAAACCATTATTTTTAATACTCATAGAAACTATTAATAAATTAATACAATGAAATTGAAGTATCTTTAATTAAATTAAAGTTAACGTTTAAGTTATACAAATAGTGAGTTAAATTTTTTTGAAAACCAATTAATTTAATAGTTTTTATTAGTTTAAAATTATATTCTTTATTAAATACAATAAAAAAATAAATTGTGCAAAATAAATCTTAAAACTACTTGTCATTAAAAATTTAGGATTAATCTCATCCGTGTAATGCACTTGTGTTCGATGTTAAATGTGGTTGACATTTCATACGTATAAAATATACTTTGCATTTTTTATTTATATACTTATTAAATTTTATAGTAAATTTTTCAGCTTAAAAAAATGTATTTTACCAATTATAATTGAGGTTTATTGATAGCAAAAAACTAGTAAAATATTTATATCACAAAAAACATATAAACTCATAAAATGAATCGTCTGAGAAATTTTTATCTTAATTTATAATGATGAAAACTTTTAAAAAATTTTTTATATTTACTTTATGATCATTTTTAATTTTTTTTCAATTATTCTTTTGTCGGAATCTATTATTATTGAAGTTATTTAAAAATTCGTACATTAAACACTGTTTATACTGTGCATTATTAAAGCTTTATCTGCAGTTACCAAAGAACATGCTGTAGTAGGAAACGAAATAGCCTTCCAAATACGATATGCAAATTACTTTGCCACAGTCATTTTTATTGTTACGATATCGCGTGTATATTTTAACTTAATTCATGATCAGTACACGTTATTTTCATCCAAAATAAGAGTTATAATTATACATTAACTTCTTAAAAAAAAAATATAATTGCTTTCGATGTTAACAAACTTCGCATTTTCTAACATTGATTTATTCATCATTAATTTATTAACAGCTTTCGGTTATATTAAATTTTAAAAATAAATTCTGATTTAGATATTTTAATTATTAGGTTAGAAATATTATACTTCGATCAATAAAAATGTTATCAACAATGAAAATAATTTCTAATCATATATAATTTGAATATATGCCTATTTAAATTGAAACATAGTTGTTCTTCAATACTACCTTAATATTAAACAGTTTGCTTATACTAATTTACAAAGACTACGGAAAATAAACAAGTATTTTATTGTTAAAATTTTTTACTGATATTCATATATTATTAATAATGTATGACTTATATAAATCATTATCATATTGATGTTTATTATGAAATAAATGTATACATTTTATTCATTAAAATATTAGTTAAAAAGATATTCAGCCGATAACCTAAAACTCGTTAAAAGTATATAACATTATAAATTTGTTTATTCAATTAGTAGCCCACATATCACCGAATGTATTAGGTAGTGATAAGAAAAACGATTTCATAATTGTAAACATGTTTGTATCCAACATAAATCAGAGAAAAAAATCAGTAAAAGGTAATTCTTCATGTACTTTCGATAAAAACTAGTCATCAGTTATAAGTTTGACAGTTATAAAGCCATTATGAGATTTGTAATGTTGGCAATAATCGTAAAACTTTTAGTTCAGTTCAATCGTTTAATATTGAACGAACAAGGTCCCAGTTTTTTAAAAATCGGTTGAATTGCTTTTTATCGTAGTTTTTTAAAAAAACAATAATCTAATGATAATAAATTCCACTGAACAAATTTACAACAGTACATATTTTGTTAGGCTCTTATTTTACAAACCATTAAATCTTCTTCCACCCCAAATTAAACATCAAATATTCTCTTCTGTTTTTGAGGGAAATCCCACTTATTATAAATCTCAGTCAAAACTGATCAAATAACAATAATAAATACCTACTATTTCCATTATAATACTCGTATATCGTCAACGGTACCTTAAATGCTCATTAAATTAATAAGTAGTGACTTGTTTTTTTTTACTTAAGATCAAAATTATTTATAAAATTATGAATACAACGGTTATACTTAAGTTGTAAAATCAAATCAATCACTAGTCCTAATCAAGTACAAAGTATTGAATGAATTTTAAGAATTTAACGAGAAATAAGAAAAAATGTTATACTTTAACACAAAAATCAATTTTATTGATAAACAATGACTATCATGAACTATACAAAAACACTGAACAGGTAATAATCTGATTTACATTTAAAAAAAACTTTAATAAATATATTATCTAAAAATCATACCTATTAAAACATTATATTTAAGTTTTTTATTCGTTAATATTTCTGCATCTTGGTACCTATGTTTAAAATAACTCTCTACACAATTACCTCAATATAAAAGCTATTAGCCGATAAGAAAAAATAAATTCTAAATCTTCATCACAAACTCCATTCCCACTCAAATCTTATAATTTTTTGTCTTTCTGCAGGCAATCTTTCTGATAACCCGATTCTTCGATTAAACCGTAAGTCTTGCCGATATCTTCTTTAAAAAATGAAAAATAAAACAATGTGTTAAGTGTATAATGGACAATGTACAACGAGATTCAAAAATTTCAATTTCAATTTATTTTTTATTAAAACTATAAAATTACAGATGCGGCATCCATTATAAAACTAAAATAGTCTTATAATTAATAAAAATATAATATAGTTTAAAATTTTAACCGCAAATTGTATAGGTAATTAAATGCAATTTGAACTTATCAATAATAAATCTATACTCTAAAATGTAATTTTTGATTTCTCATCCAATTGTTTTGATATTTAATAATATCCCAAGCTTCTTTTCAGTCAAATGTTTAATAAATAGACTATCGTTTTCACAAGTGCAGCTTCCACTACGCCTCAGTAAACATTATAGAATAATACCACTTGTTCTCGTTTTCCGAATCCGCAACATTTTTCGAGTGGTAAACACTTTCATATTCATACCCAATGTCATTCGAGTGCTAATGGCCCGACCGACTATCCGACTCTGTACATTTATATGCCTGACGTTACCCACAATACTAAATAATCAATATTTTAAAGAATCAAAACAGATTTTTAAAAAACGTATAAGATTCATTCCTATTGTACTGTAGTATAATGAACACCTTGTTATTATTATTTTTCAAATCAATCGTGTGGTTGCCGTAAACTAATATTATATTCAAATACCAAACATTCTCAAACCTCAATTTCTGTTCACATTTTCAAACTGATCAAAACATAATTATTAAATAGTTTCAATATATTGATATTATTTTCTAATATATTTTTAAATTTTTTTTTATAGTGTAAATTTTACATGTGGGTTGCAATATCTTCCAAATTACTAGTGAGTCGAAGTATCCATTGACCCTAATTCAATCTTTATTAATTTATCTCTTATTTTTCAGCAAATATTGATTCGAGAAAATTGTATTCACTTTTAAAACACGCACACACACACACACACACACAAACATATATATACGAGATATATATAGAAAGAGAAAGAGAGAGAGAATCGTTAAACTATACACAGTATTCACTGGTTATCGTAACAATTTGAAACAATTGAAAACCAGCTATAGCATGATAGGAAAAATATCAACTTCAATACTTCCGCCAAACTTCCACCACTATTTAAATGTTCACTATTGTCCGTGTATTCAAGAAATTATTATTTTTTCAGGTTTTTGTATGTACATAGTTATAGACATTTCTGTTTTTTAATTTTTATTACTATTTTTTTTTTTTTTACTTATTACTAATGTATAGTAACTACATTGTAGTCCGCATTTATACAAATATTAATTGAATCAATGTTTTTCTTTACTTATACTTAGTTTTATCAACTAAATTGTTGGATTAGGTTATGTATAATCATAATTTAAAATGTTTAAATATAGTTAGATCCAAATTTAATAAAATTAAATCTTATTTTTTACCTGTATACAAAACAAAACATACTTTTACGAGTATTGATGTATATTCTACTATCGAAAAACCATTAATACGTCACAAATCTAACTATGAGAAAAGAACTATACAAATTTAATCAATTATATTAGAATGTATAAATTTAATTATTAAACGTAACGAATTTTAGTCAAATTTCTCGTGCATAATATATATAATATGTATAGGGTAAAGTGTATTTATTTTCTAAGTTACATTATGTAAACCACAATTATAAAATAATTATACTTAATACATCACGTATAGCATACGTTATAATTACAACCTTATATTAAAATAATATTTGTAATTTTTAATCTTGTTACGATTATACTATAAATTATAAAACTGTCTATTTACTACAATGCATAGATGTCATCCGTAAACACAAATATTGCTCATAAGTTATTATATGATCCATACAAAATGTTATTCTGATTGATTGATATTGCTATTTTTTACCATAATACATTTCATAAATTTGAAAACCATTTTATTTAAAACAAAATTCTAATGAATACAAACTTTTTTTAATTTTATAAACATAATATAAAAACAAAAACGTATGTATCATTATCATAAATATACGTTTATATGGCACCATGAACAATAATTATTTGGAAAACGTAATAAAATATATTAAAATAAAAATCTTCGATTTCCTCCAATATTTGTCACACAAAAACATAAATAATTATAATAACAATGAAATACCAAAACTGTTTTTCATTGAGCAGCACATATTTGACTATGTAATTCAAAAAGTTTACGTAATCTCCATGCATATACAATGGTCATTTGCAATGAAACCCGTATTTTCGAAAAACCATTTAGGTGTATAAAACATAACATATTATTATAATAAATCCAGTTAAAAAAAAATAAAAAAACTTCATGAAACTCACCTGAACAGTGAGAGCATATGTGACCACCATAATGATCATTGGTATATAGAAGGCCACCAGCGAACCGAAGACAAAAAAAGCTCGATTGTTGATGACGCAAACCCCTGGATCTGGCATAATGTTCTTAGGATTGTAGAGACCTGTGAAATATATAGGAACTTAAGTTATAAAATATCACAGATTTCTTTGCATAATTGAGTTTCAAATGAAAACAAATTTTACAATATTACCTGTAAAGTTTACAATGCAGTAATTATAAAACATTTCAAACCAATGAACTATATTACTACTATACTATAATATATCTGTATTCGTGACCACAATGCTTTCAATATTATTTAATATTGTAATAAAAAGGTATTGGCACTAATAATGTATATATTTTATGAAGTATATTTATAATAAAAGTATCATTCGCCATATGAAACGTTATTACAACTCAATTATTTACGTTTACTACTTAATTTATTTATTTTACTTTTATATTATTTTCAGCTATACCACTTGTTTTTAAATTAATTATTCGTAAAATATTAAAGAAAATCAGTGTATTTTACGTTCAGTGGATCACCTCCTAATTTGTATTTACATTTTATTCAAAAAGATAAAGTGATGTTCGAGTGTTTAACCATTTTTTGCAGAAATTTAAAATAATCCGTGAAAATGATAAAAGTAAGCAGCTGATTATGTCAGGAATAATAAATGACAATAGGTTTACATTTTTTGTAATATTTCGACAAAAAATAAAAACAAAAGTACAAACTAACCACCTTTAGATAAAACAATACCGATGTCAAAACCAAAATATAGTTTTTTATTTCTTTAAAATTTATTTAAATGTACGAGAATAATTATATGTGTACATTTCTCTTTAATGCATATAGAACTAATAATAACTATAATAATTTTAAAAAATATACATTTTAAAACAAAAAACTTGAATAAATCAAACATATAATGAATATAACTTCGTGATCGTTTGAAAATTTAAGGATAATATATTTTTCATATCATAAATAAAAACGATTAGTATGTTTAAGAAAAGTGGTCGATTTATAAGAACAATTCATCAATTTTCCAAAGTAACACATGAAAATTGTTATTTTTATAATTAAATCCGTTCAATGCTTTACCTTATTTTTCAGACATAAGAATTATAGTAAAATCGATGTTTGTTGAATATTGTTAAACATTGATAAATTGGTTGTATTTTAAATACGAAAAAAGAACATTAAAATACAAACATACAATCCAAAAACAATTTGAAGCAACTGCTTGTTGTGAAGTCATACGTATCGTCATACTGAAACCGTTAAAGTTACAACAATATCGATATGAATACATTCCTAGCTGGTAGAATTTTTTTTAATCAGTACAGTCATCACCTGTAAAGGGCAAAAACTACCGTGTAAGGTACGTACAGGTAAGGTGGTATTCAATAAAACCGTCACCTAATACGCAACTGAACACATACGCATGCGAAGCTGTTGATATACGTTTCAAGCCGGATTCGCGTCAAACGATGCCCGAACGCACTTTCAAAGAATGGGAATAGATGAGTGTGAAGCTGATCAGAATGGTATGAAACAATACACGGGAAAGTGTTTTCGGGGAACGAGTATATAAGAGATAGCACGTAAAACGACAGGGAGTACATTTAGATAGAATACGTGTAAATGGTCAATATATATGTTATATATATAGTATATATTTTCGGATTAAACGAAAATCTTCTCGAGATACCAACCCAGGAGGCACGGGCGTGACGAGTTATTTATCGTGCTATCCCCTAATCTAGAGCCGGTCGTGGAAGAAATCGTTATTGAACGCACTTGATATGGTCCAACACATCACATCTTTAGTCGGTGGCGGCGAACCCCTCGACCCGCGACACAGCACCCTACCAATCCGCGCAACGTTCACATCTCCTGCACTCCTAGTCTTCATCGTATTCGTCGTCGACGTCATATACGTGAATAATTTATTATACGAGGCAGACCGTGAGAAAAAGACACGTGCTTGTTTGTTGTCTTTATAACCAGGTCTAAGCTCCGACGGTGATGTGTAGGATGTGCGGACAATACGCCGCAAGTCTAAGTGTGATGGTGATGGTGGTGGTGCGGGAACAACAATACCAAGCGGCTCTGCGAGCGTGGACCACAAGGATGCAGAGGACCTCGAGAATCGGCACGAGGACGCGGACGCGGAGGATCAGAAGGGACTGAAAGTGTTCGCGCCTAGTAATAATTCGCCAGTACATATATCGCACGCTTTTTGATAAGACAAATATACTAGGACCGAGTATACACTATTAGGGTTCATCATCGAGACCCCCTTGTGTGAACAAACGGCATTTGTTTTTATTTCCGTGACGTTTCAATGCTTTGGACGTATCGTTCTACTCGGATAATTAACTGTACGACACTAGGAAGTTTTATTATCTTTTTGAATCTTGTACATATATATTTTGTGTGTATGGTTACACATATTGGGTAGGTAATCAATTTAATGTATACGTTTGTTTCCTTAGTCGATTTTCAAGGTTTTTTTTTTCGTTAATAATTATTTTTTACGATTGGAAATAATTATGTGACGAAAAATAAACAAATATTACAAAATCAATTTCGAATTTAACATCTTTTTTTATGTTGGTTCCAGTTTTTAATTTCATACTAAACCGAGAAAATAAAATAACAAATGTCATCGACCGATATAATTTATTATTTATAAACGTTTAATGTTTAATGATAAGCAAAGGTACAGGGAAATAATAATTTTAGACTCAGCGAATTTTTACTGCAATACACTACTTAACCAAGCTGATTATAAATTATCGATTACTTCAAATTTCCCTAAAAAATATCGTGATCAGATTATGAATTAAAAAGCAAAAATACATTTTTTTTTTTTTTTTCATTAAATTTACCATAAAAATCATAATGATATGAAAAAATAAATTGAATTATAGTTCTATTAAACAGCAAAAAACGACGACGATTGACTGACACAACCAGTGAAGTATGTTAAATAAATCATCATAAACAATTTTAATAATGGTATATACAATTATATAGCTCTATACTTATGTAATACAAAAACTCTTAATATATAATGTACATTTAAGCGTTTAAAATTTACATAGAGTGTATACTCGCAAAATAGACAATACCAAAATGGTTTGTTCTAAACCGTTCAGAACAATTGGTTTCCAGAGTGTTATTGTATTATTGTTTCTTTTATTTCAATCTAGAAACATTTTATAAAAGGTCGACGGAAATATACACTACAACAACATATTATTCTAATATTTGTTATTTTTAAATCGCGATTCATACAAAACAATCTAAATAATAATATTTTCCCTAAAACAAAATTACTCTGTTCTTTAACACGATAATAACATGGTAACAGTGAATATTTAAATTATATTTTTTCCACGCTATAACTGAAACGTATACAATACGATTTTTTTTTATCCAAATTTTATTTTTCGGGTTAATTTATATGTGTAAAGGTTTCCTTTAAAAATTATAAATTCCATTGATTCCTATTTAATAGGTTAAAAACGTACAATTTTTAAAATTGTTGTATCCAAAAACTGCACTGTTTTGATTTCGACGCCGAAAAAGTTATATTTATCTACGTTAGGTATACTTAATAATTTATAATTCATTCAGATAAAATAAATCCATATACGAGTATTCTAAAATTTAAAAAAATTTAAAAATTAGCTGAAATCTCTTACTGACTTTTTTTAAAAATTTCATACGATCTCCGTCGATTAAAAATTCTTCCTATCATTTAAACAATTGCTCCTAAAATAAATACAATTTAATTAAAAATCGAAAACATCACTATTTTGTATTTAGTAACTTGTTTTTGATTTTTAAATTGGACGGACAATATTTTGAACACCATTATGGTACTAGTTCATTCGTGTCATTGTATCAATATGAATATTTCGTTGAAACATCAATAACTATAAATACTATAAATATTATAAATATTATAATAAATATCTATATATAGATTTGGGATGTAAAATTCAGAATAAAATCCTGGATGAAATATTTCATCTCCCTTTGTTGTTTTTGTAGGTACATTTTCATTGATTGGATGGGTCCAAATTTCAACTGGGAACTGTCCTTCGATGTAGTTGTCAAAAATATTGTCTTTAAATGCAGTACATGCATCTTGCGGTGGAAATTTGGATTTTAAATCAATGAATGCCTCAGTGACTTCATGTACTGGTAAAAAAGGTAAACCAAAAAAACAATTTTAACCACTAACCTGTTTCATTTTGATTATCATTATATATGATCGTCGAAGGTTATTGATTGATTGGATTTTCCGCCATAAAGCTTGACCAAAATGGAATCTACAACCTTTAACCTTTATTCCAGTAAATATTTTTTGTACAGAATTATGAGAATTATGAGCAGCTATTTCAAAATCGAGATGGATAGTTTTAATAACTTTTCCTAACTCCATACAAGCATTTTTAATATTAAACCACATTTTTATGTAACAAGATTCATTTTTAGAATGTAAAAAACAATGAATTAATAGAAAATAATAATTTCTGCTCCACCTATGAGTAGTATATTGTTGATGAAAATACTTTGGTTTATATGTAAAAGTACCGTCGGCTAAGTATTCATCACAATGATTACATAAAAATAAAATATTTTCTTTTACGTGTAACAATAATAATTTCGCCTTGTTTGTATACATAAGTCATTTTTTTGTTTTGACAGGTTAAAATTTCGCAATCAGAAACAAAGCTTAGAGCATCTTCCAAACTTTTTGATAAAGTTGGTAGATGTTTTTTACGTTCATAATACATTCACTTCTTTATTAAGCTTACGTCATTGCTTCTTATAACTGTATTATTGTCTATGGATGAGAATAACTATTTGCGTATTATTTTTCGCGGTGGTTCATGAATGTCATTAGCAGCCTTACGTTTACGTTCACATACCTCTTGAATTTTAATTTTCACTGTCTCCTCTTGTTCATGTTTATGTGCGTTTTTAGTTTTTTAGTAGATTCTTCATTTGACTGCATGTTGTAACCATAGACGTACATTTTTTCATAAAACACCACCAAACCACATTTCCACTAATACACACTCTAAATTGTCGAGTAGTAAGCACTTGCCTCCTTTGTTATTCTCAATTATTTTTAAATCTGAAGCTATACCTAGTTAAAAATATTTTAATAAACCTACAAAAAACCACTAAATATGGGTAAACACTAAATATGTACACACAAGAGACAAGACCGATAAAGTAAAAACGAGTGGTGACTAAAGTATTAACACATGATTATTGCAGTATATTTTATAATCTATTTTATTTAATCAGTTAGTTAGCACTAAAAATAGTGTGCAATTTTAACCACTATAAGTTTGAGGTATTTTGTTATACAATAACCGATAAAGTTTACGGTTTTCGTCTATCGACCTTTTTGGATCAAAATCATAAGTGTGCTATTTTCGGATAGAACCATAAATCCATCGACTAAATAAGCATATTTTTTGACACCATAATTTTGATCTTTATGGTAGGATAAGACAAAAAACAATTTCTTATAAAATAATATAAACAAATAATTCATGGTAATTGTACCATCTAGTATAGCGCACGTTTATGTATGAATGCATTTAAAATATTTATGAGTCGCATTAATGTATTATTTTCTCATCTGTATTTTATTATGCATAATTTGTATAACGTAATTATAAAATAGTAGAGACATGTAGTGGAAATAACTGATATGTATATCATTAGATCATACACTTAGACTATCAATTTAATAGAGTAAATAAAAACACTTTGTTAAACGAAACTCTACAAAAACAATAAAGAGAAGACAACGAGTTGAAAATATATAATATTGAACTAAACTTTTACAAGCATGCACATTTCTGGATCAGCAGAAAGTAAAATAATTACAATGCATTGGATTGTGCATAAATTCATTATTTAAACGCAAATTATTTTTATTTTTATGATGATAATTTTATATGAATAAGGTTTAACTATTTTATAATATTTTTTTAATTAAAACATATTTTTTTGCTAATATAAGTATTAATAAATAAAACTCATGATGGTTTAATATTTTTTTTGCTTGAATGTTTAAACTATGTCCTTTGATATAAATACAAAACATAACTTTTATTTTAATGAACGAGTTTTTTTTTTTTAAAAAAACTTTAAGTAACCAATCGCTAAAAAGGTTTACATACATGCTATTATTATCTTATTATATTTTCCTTAGAAGATGAAATCAACATGGGTAAGTTGTTGTTTTAAATGTCGAAAACGAAAAAAACCTTTTATATTTCAACTTAATTTTTAGATTTCGTTTAAGGAGAGTGCACTGTGTCAAAAAAATATCTATTTAATATCTTAGTGACAAATAGTGTAGGTATCTACTTAAAACTAAATGATAATAACAATAAGTTAACAAATTACAGTATAAATAAAAAACCATTTAATCTTTTGAATTAAAAAAAAATTATTTTATACATACTTAACACCTACATAACATCTGAGAAGAGGATCATGTGGTTATTTTACACATAACATTGAATTTATAAATAATTTATAAAATAATTATTATTATAATAAATGTATGATACGGGGAACGTGAGTTATCGAATTATGATAAATCATAGTCATTGTATTGTATCAGTTTCTTATATATACATGCCTATTGAATATTTCAAAGTTTATTTTATTTTTCGAATATATGCGATTGATAATTGAAATTATACATTTCCAAGGGTAAAGTTAGTGATATATTAGTGCTTCTCAACGTTTTTAGTCTGGTAACACATTATTCAAATTTTTCATTTATTGCGACACACCGTAAAAAGATTAAGTAATTGTAAACCCATAATTGTTTACAATATACTTGTATATCAATATTTTATTTTAACATCACAAATTTAAATATATTTCATTATATCAAATATCAATTTAAATGTTGTGTAATTTAATAAACCTCGCTCAACACACTTGGACTTATCCCATAACACGGTGGTTGAGAAGCACCGAGTCATATTGTTGCTCGAATACTTGTTAAAATTATTTTAATTCAAAATGTTTGTCGTTATCCGTGTATAGTAAAAGTGTATGGTTACTTACCCAAAAGCGTGACTGACAACGACACTAAAAACGAAAGGAACCAGACGATTGCAATTTTAAAACACACTAATTTCATGGTGGAATAGTGATGTCTCGTCCTGAGCGGATGTCTTATACCCAGATATCTTCCAAGTGATATGCAACACATGTGCATGATACTAGAACTGCATGCTAACACATCGCAAGTGACGTACACGTTGCACCAAGCAACACCCAGGGGCCATTCACCTGAAACAATACAAAACGCAAAGTTATAATATTTGCCTAGGACCGGAGTTTTGTGTTTAATTTTATTTTATATTTAAAAAAAAACGTTTCCTAATCTATAAATATGTATTACAGTTGCATCCACGTCCTAGTAACTCATTATCATTTTATGAGATTATACGAGAATCGTCGAATCGAGATATGAAATAACAGTTGTTTTATCGTTGCAGGGCTGATTTTCTCATAGTGAGAAAATTATGAAAACCACGCGATTTTCGATTTTCGAAATGATTCTCAAACTTCCAACTCACATATCATTGAAATAATTTTTAATTCATAAATTACGTTCAACTAAATATCAAATGTTTATATTCTGTATCATAATATGATTTTGGTTTTGTCGTGGCATTTTTCAAAATCATTTTCGTTGTTTTCTCATAAGCGTATCGGTACATTCGACCCGTATAATATGATTATTATCAATACGACAATCGCCACCGTCACTATCGTTATCCGAAAATGACGGAAGCAGGAGCGGAAACAAGAGTGTACTACACACGGCGGCGCACAGGGGTTGGAAATGCAATTTCAAGCGAACAAAATGGAAAAATAATATGATTAAAAATGAGATATTTTACACTTGATATTGTATCTATTACACATATGCGGGTTATTAAAGGAACGATATAACCACTTTAAAACGCTACAACTGTAAAAAGATTAGAGTTAAAATGCGTAATATACGAAGAATTAAAAATATTGAATTTATTTCTTCATCTACTGTTTTCTAAGTGTTCTTGCAATTCTTAAAAGTTTAATATATTTAATTATTATATTAAAATGGTTAGTTTTAATTTAAATTCATATATGTTTTTTCTAGTTAATACATACTGTATATAGAGTTGCATCACTATTTAAAACTTTAATTTTTCCATTTTATAAAACATTATATAAAAATAAATCGAAAATGATCTTATAAAAATTATATGGATATTGTTCCAATACTTTTAAGCTTTTTAACAACATAATTTTAATTTGCATTAAGTTATGTTCGCAATAATTATCATATTATTGCCATTTAAAAATGTTGGCGGTTTAACAGTTATTATTGTCATATTTTAGTTGGTAAAAAAATTGTAAACAATAGTTTATTCTTATACTTAAGAATAAAAAGACCACTAGATCCAAGAAGTATGGTATCTAAACAAAATTTACTGTAAATATAATGCTGATAATTTGGAAGAGGAATATGAAAACAAAGTTGTACAAAACATTTCTAATTTTACAGCCATTTGAAGCAAATTTTGAATATAAAATTCATACATTTAGTGAATTCACTATTGAATAACTAAATAAACTATTTTTTATGTAATTTCAATTGCCGCCATCATCATGAAATTTTGTTGGACCTCAAGAATTATATTCTGATTGTTCTGATAGAAGTAAAATACAGTACATTTAAAAGTTCACTAAATCTTTGACTTTTCCAGAATTTTCTACAAAAAATAAATTGTACGTGTAGTGTACACCTGTAGTGTAATCACAATCTACTTCAACTCGAGTTACCAAAATCAAAAAAAAATCAAACACGACTTCATTATTAATAAATAATACCATCGTGCCATATGATTTTGACGAGCTTTTAGATCTTTTCATAAATTATAAACTTGAAAAACAACAATACGTAAATGTTCGTAAATCTACTAAGGGGGACCTAGAACGAATATATATTCAAGTTAATGTTTCAGTGGCAAAAAAAAAAAAAAAAAATAATGCTATCAATATTAAAATTACGGAATTGAAATAGTGAGTGTACAGTGACCATGACGAAGACAACGATTCCAAATAAAATAATGAGTAAAAGAAAAAAAGTACCTTATAATATCATATAGTAAATTTATTAAGAAAAAAACAAAAAAAAATGTTATCTCTTTCGTCCGAAATACACTATCCGCATACCTAAAGCTTAATGATTATTTGGATTTTAACCGAAATCAGCGTTAGGATTACGTGTTGTAAATAAAATTATTTCGTCCGTTCGAAAGAGTTTCCGATCACTTGTGGTGTAGCCGGCCGTTCGGCGTTCATCGAGGAAACGGAAAACAATACGATTCACGCCGATATGGTAATAACGCGGGGCGCGGGGACCGTCCATAAATATTCAACGCTAAAGCCTTCGCGCGCGCGCGCAACCCTTGTACGCGCGTATAGGGGTGGCGTGCGTACATCCGCGCGAATCGTCTACGAAACTGATTTGAATACGCGCGATCCGCACGTAGAACCGTTTCGCTGCCACGGCGTGTGTTGCCGCGAAATCCTACGCACAATACACATTGTACCGCATACGAACGTATACATATTATGTAAATGAATGCGTACACGTGCGCGTATGTGTGTATGAATAACAATGTACACATGGTCGCTACGACCGCCGGTACTTATGTGCACCGACCGAATGGAATGTGTCGCTCGAGTCTTACATCGAACATCGAGCTCATCTTTTCCGTGTGCAAACGTACGCGACGGTTTAAATTTATTTATTTATTTAGACCGTTCCGGCGGCGAGGCGAAAACGCCTTACGTTCCCCTAACTCGTCAAATGTATACGAACGAGTCCGAATAAATATTTTCCGTATATCTGTTTGAACTGCGTACGTACGGAAAACGCGTTTGTAGACGAACAATCCGAGTAACACGAATTCGCGAATTTTTTCCTCGTGGTTATCAAACCGCCAATGTCGTGGTACTTAAATGATAACGAGAAAAATATTACTCACCCCCCCCACCCCCCGTGGACGTACATCGCGTATAATTCTGTAATCATCATAATCTCGAGGTCCGAGATTAACTACCCTGATACTTTGTTTCACATTTAAATAAACACCAAAAGAAAATCATAGTTTGTTTAAAACAGTTCGAACGTAATTTACTAATATAATGTACAGATACATGGCAAGTACCTATAATATATAAGTATAATAATTTGTTAGGTATCAACTTTTTCCGGTCCGTAATTTTTCCGGTGTTTTAAATACAAAATCGTTTTATAATTTTTCCCAATGATAAAAATGACAAAAACTGATGATATATATATATATATATACGTCAAAAACGCATATTAACCATAGTAAAAATAAAACAATAAAATATGCAAAACTACGAAGAGTATTTTTTTTTCAAACACCTTACATAACACAATAATTTCGTATCCATAACTGTTTTTTTTTTTTTGGGTAAACTCCACACACAACAGTATGCAAATACAATAATAGCATCTGAAACCAGGTTAGCACGATTCCACAGAATTATAATACCATATGTTTTCGTATTATCACAACATGTACGTATAGTAATAAAAATTATAATGTATACACTATAAGTCCATCGAACTGTAACTGAGTGTCATAATAACGGAGAATGAAAATAATATAATACTTTACACGTTATAAATCTGAAGCCGTATTCAGAATGTAAATTACAATAATACCTAATGAGAAATAAAAACGATTCGCAATGGGTTACACGGAAATTAGGAGAACACCGGCATTATTCCCTCTAATATTACTATTACACGTGACGTGTTTCTTTCAATTAAGTTCTTTTCTATATGTGATCGATATCGATTTTAGTATTTTACCACCGTCGTAGGCCAAAGACTTATCATTTCTATTCCCGTCAACGGAGATGGTAATATCTCAAACAAGATACTGTAATATATTGTATATTTTACATCGCTATTAGGATTGTACAATTGATCATCATTCGTAGGTACCGATGTGTTAATAATAATGTATTACTTATTTATTTATTTATTTTTCGCCTATCGGTTTTTTTAACATATTCTATACATAATTCGGTACAATTCAAAATAAAATAATATGTATAATGAATACAAACTAAAAATAAAAATAATAATGCAATTTAAGTGGACCTAGATCATTCACTACTAATGGATCTAAACATTATATTCAAAGGGTGGTTATTGCTGTACCTAGGAAGCAGGGTGTGCAGAAATATAAAAAAATAATTTTGTTTCTAGTATAAGGTGAAGGAGCTTTAAATGAAACACGGGGTAGAAGGTCAGGGCAATTAGTACGTTATTAAGAAAAGCGTAAATAAACTGAGTGTCGGTAGCTATCCGATAGGAAGAGAGAGAAGGTATATTTACAGTACTTAAGAGAGCAGTCATGTTTCAGAGGCGGTAATTTCAGCTTATAAGCGGCATAGGATAAAACTTATTCTTGATACACTTAAGTCGCAATTGATCTTTTGCGAAGTATGGGTACCATATGACAGCTCCATACTCAAAAATTGATCAAACAAGAACATGATACAAAAATATGGACACAATTAACCAAATTGAAAAACTGGTATTACATTTGATAAAACCTAAGTTGATTAGGTTACTACCAATAATAAAATCAATATAATAGCAGAAGGAAAAATGTAGCGAGTAATAAATACCAAGGTCTTTGATAAGGGGAACGCGTTATAGCTGGATATTATTAAGAGTGTAATAAGGTGAATAGGATTCTTTAATTTAGAAAAGGAAATAACATTACGCTTATTGATATTGAGAGAAAGACCTAAGTGGGAAACCCACAAATTAAATTGATCTAGTTATTTTTGCAAAAAAAAAGGCAATCCACATGAGTTTTTATTTTATGAAATATATTTTATATTTTTGGCACACAGAAGGAATTAAGCTTTTTTAATATAATTAGAGATGAAATTAATATAGAGACAAAATAAGAAAGCCATCCTATGGCAAACCAAAAGTTACATTAACTGGGATCAACACCGTGCATATTATTGATATCTAAATTCGAAATATTATTATTTATAGACGATTTTCCATATTCTACCGTATTATTTAAGCTATATTTATTCACGTCGTCATGTCTAACTAGTACAAACTCATTTTCCTCAGTACGATCTCACTACCCAACGCTCATTGATAACAGTAGTTTTAATGGTTTGACTCTATATCAGCGCTTCTCTAACTATGGTATACATGTACC